AGACAGGTTTTTTAAAGTCATAGTTATACAGATACTTGTGAGATTACATATTGTTGTATCGTGAAAATGAGCCCTACTGCAAAATTCTTACAATTGGTATCTTCACTGTGTCTTCTCAGAGATATTTTAATTAGTTTCTGTTATGGCTTGTGTGCAGATGTCCCCCCAAAGCCTCATGAGGATGAGGTGGGGCTTTTTCAGAGGTGGCTGAAACTGGAATGTGTGATGTGGGATTAAAGTTGTGTGATTACTAAACCATTACACGAGAATGATTGGTTTGGCACCACCCTAATCCTGGTAGTCTGGATGGGATAAAAGGGAAAGAAAGATGCTGTTAAGGTCTCTTGTTGCTTTGCTACCTTTGGGTGCCATGAACTGTTTCTCCTCTGTGATGCCACTTTGCCTTAGAGCCTGTGGATTATGGACTGAAACCTCTACAAACTGTGAGCTAAATAAATCCTTTCCCTTTTAACTTTGGTGTCAGGTATTCTATCTCAGCAATGACAGAAAAGTAACTAACAGCACCCATGAGGGTTAAGCTTGATTGTGTCAACCTGAATGGCTTGGGAACCACCCAGAGAAGATACTTCTGGGGGTGTCTGGATGGGTCAGAAAGGCTTGACCTTAAATACTATATTTGGTACCTTGTTCCTTCCTTATATGGTGCTGGTCCCCTACTCTGCTTCTCAGCCACCATAAACTAAGAAGCTTTGCTCCACCATGCCCTTCTGCCATGATGTTTCTGCCTTGGAGCCAGCAGACCATGGACTGAATCCCCTTAAAACAAGAGCCAAATTAAACCTGTCCTCCTTTAAGTTGTGGGTGTCCAGCAACAGGAAAGCTGGCTAACATAGCATCCATTTAACCATTACTTTTTTCATGTACCGAACCAGTATATATATCCTTGGTGCTCTTGGAACACAGTCTGATAATTCAAATAGATAAACAGATGAATGGCAGTGGTGCTGGTTCACTACACAGATGGAGTCCTCACAGAATGCCACAGAAGCAGCAAGGTGATGTAGGGTAGGGCCCTGGGATGTCTTCCTGGATGTGCGGGGTGAGTCTTGGCTGAGCAGAGTTAGCAGACAAGAGAACCGACCTTTCTGGGATGCTCATCCAGTGTCCAGCTATAGAATAAGCCAATAAGAACTCACTGAAAGGCCACCATGCTGAGGATGGCCTCTAGGTTCTAGAAACTTCTTTGGCAAAAGGAATTTATAAATAGCTTCAATGAAGTAAGTTTCCCAGAGGAAGCTACTAACTTCCAAGACACATTTCCAGTGTTTCACAAGGCCCTCCTGACCAGGCAGGAGCCCTCAGAGGAGCAGCACTGGAGCTCGGAAGGTGATGATGTGGTCACTGAGGGGAACAGCCTGGATGTAGGTGCCTGAGGGGACAGTCAGAGAGGTGAACAGCCCCACACAGGGCCTTGGGTGGGGCTGCAAACTCTTCTTGTAAGGGAACAGATGGTGTTTTCAGTTTTGTGAGTCATTATAGTGGGAAAGTAGCCAAAGATACTATAAATGGGCATGATTATGTTCCAGTAAACCTTTATTTACACAAACAGGCTATGAATGAAATGCAGCCTACAGGTGGAAGTTTGTTGACCATGGCTTTAGGGGATGGAGATGAGGGAAAGGGCTGCCCAGGGCTGTGTGGCTGCGTACCCAGGCCCACTGGGGACCGCTGCCAGGACAGTGGTAACACAAAAGCCAGTCATGCGGTTTGGGCCTGAATGATGTGAGATCTGACTCTTCCAAAGCCCAAGGTGCTCCAGAGGCTACTTGGCCCTGTTCAGAGGTGAAGAGGGGGAAGGGTTCCGCTCAAAGGTATCATGTTCTGTAGGTGAGGAAACACTGGCCTGAGACACAGCCATGTCTGTCACATATGCACAGTCAGTCCCCTACGCTGCAGTGCTGGCTGGGGTGCATGTTGGGCTCAGAAGAAACAGAAGAGGCAGGGACCTATCCACACCATCCTTGATCATCACCTGAAAGGAGATTACAGCATCTGCTGGAGACAAGATGGGACTCCCTCCCTGGCTTTGACCCTACAGGACATTTTTGTGTTTTTGTGCTACTAGTGATTGTACCCAGGCTTTTGCACTGAGCTCCTCCCTCCCTCTCTTCTTCCTTTCTCCTCTCTTTCCTTCCTCCCTTCTTTCTTTTGAAACAGTCTTGCTAAGTGGCCCAGGCTGCCTTTGAACTTGTGATGCCCCTTCCTCAGCCTCCCAGAATGCTGAGATTACAGGTGAACACCACCATGCCTTGCTTAGAACTTAGAATTTATTAATTGCTATGATCTGCTTCCAGCATACACCCTGGACAGCCTCTTGCTGAAGTCAACTGAAAACAGAGGATAAAAGAACAGAAGCATCTGGATAACAGTTATTCAGACACAAAGCAGAATCAGGTGCCCTGGGAGAAGGCAAGGAGGTGAACCCACTGACTTTGCCTTCGCCATGATGCTGTGTGGGGTGAGGCACAGGGCAAGAGAGAAACTGCTCGGGCTGGGGAGTCGGACAAGACACTCTTGGTACTAAGGAGGGCTAGGAAAAAGTGGTCTCTTCAAAGTGGTCATCACTGCTAACTGGCCTTCACGCAACTTCCAGGCCCAGATCCCCTCTGTGTGGTGTGAAAAGCCACAAGGGATCATGTCAAGAGGTGTCAGGTGCACACCACACACATCCTCTTAAAGGAAAGTAACAAACCCAGGCTTCAAAATTCCTTACAGATCAAGTTCCAAGGAGTATGAGCCCTGTCAAAATCCACACGATGTCATGGAAAAGGACCCATGAGTGAGATCCGGCAGAAATGAGAGCAAAATCAGATCACAATGGCTTCAGATTGAGAGGATCTGAAATAAACTATAAAATAAGTATGTTTAATATGATTGAAGTTTGAAAATAAAACAAGGAGCAAGGGATTGTTCTAAAAAGTTAACACCACCCAATTTTTCTCTGAAAAAGAAAAAATGAGAATTTTTGGAATGAGAATATAATAATTTAAATGTAAAAAACTGAGTAGACTGGCTAAAATTAAGTTGAGGCACAGGTGGTAAAGTTTAAACTAGATCAGAAGAAATTATCCATATATTGCAGAATATAGAAACAAAAGATGGGAAATAGGTCGGGGATTTAGCTCAGTGGTTTCACCACCTGCTGTGCAAGCGGCAAGGACCCGAGTTCGATCTCTGGTACCAAAAAAAGATGGGAAATAAAAATGGGAAGAGACACGGGAAAATAAGGTTTAATAGACAGTGATGTTAACACACATGAAACTGGAATTCTGGTAAGAAATATTAGGGAAAATGAGGAATAGAACGTATTTCAAAAGAAAAATCTCCAAAATTCATTTTAAAATACCAGTCCTTACATTCAAGAAGTCCAATGTCCCAGGAAGAACAAACACTTTTCTACTGCTAGAGACAATCTCCGTGAAACTGTGGACTACCAAAGACGAAGAGATTATCATCAACTTTGACTTTACAGGGACAATGACAGAAGTCAGCGACCAGGATACAGATGGTCCCAAGCTCAACATGGTTCAGCTTACAATTTATTGTCTTTGTGATGTGAATACCCATCCATACAACCATTCTGTTTTTCAGCTTCAGTAATTTTCCATAAAGTACATTGAAATATGCAATGTTTTATTATAAAATAGGCTTTGTGGCAGAAGGTTGTGTCCAACTGTAGACTAAGTAAAGTGCTCTTGGCATGTTTAAGGTAGGCACGGCTAAGCTGCGATGTTCAGTAGACATATATTACATTTTCATAGTATTTTCAACTGATGAGTGCTTATTTAGATGTAGCCTATTATAAATTAAGGATATTGCGGAGAGAATATAACTATCATGCTAAATTTGTAAGTGTTGCCAGAGTACCTTTCAAAAATTAAGATAAAATACATATTTTTGCCAAAAAAATTTTTTCCATTAACAAACTCACACTCAAATAAATTCTAAAAGGTATCCTTCAGGTCAAGGGAAATTATCCTAGATGGGGCTCTGAGAAGCAAGAAGAAATGGTGAGAAAAGACATGGTGCTTTATTTTAAACAATGCTAGGAATCAATAGCATGTAAGTAATAAATCACTCCAAGGACTCTAATTTTTTTGAGGAAAAAATATTAATATTAAGCTTTAAATATTCATGTTTAAATACTAGGGTAATTATTAAAATAAGAAGCATAGAGGATATCAGTTCAAATTGGTATGAAAAAATGTTAATGAAGAAAGAACAACCCAGCCAAGCATGGTGGCACATGCCTGTAATCCCAGCACTCGGGAGGCTGAGGCAAGAGGATTGCCCCAAGTTTGAGGCCAGCCTGGGCTACATAGTGAGTTCAAGGACAGCATGAACCACATATTGAGATTCTGTCTCAAAAAACCAAGCAAGAAAAAGAACAACCCAAAAGAAGGCAGAAAAAGAGGGTTAAAAAAAAAAAGAGAAAAAGGGGGACAAATACCAAGTGTAATATAAATGGTCCATACCTTTTTTTTTTCTTTTTGGTACTGGGGATCAAACTCGGGTCCTTGCACTTGTGAGGCAGGTGGCAGAACCACTGAGCTAAATCCCGGCCCATAAATGATTCAATATTAAAATACTTCAATAATCATAATAAATGCATATACTAATTGCCCCAGTTTTATTTAAAAAAATGATCATCAGATAGGATATTTAAAAAATCTAGCAATTATTATTTTTATTAGACATATTTTAAATGTAAGGACAGAAAACTTGAGAGTAAAAGGAAGGAAAACAAATACCAAGAAAATACTACCACAGGGAATGTGTTGTGCCTCTATGAATACCATAACTTAGAAATAAAGAAGGGTCATAGAATAAGGGTACAAATTTCAGCTCACTTGAAGAAAAAAATTACTCTGAACTTGTACGGGATGCATCTAGTAATATAGCATCAGAATCTATAAAATGAAAACATACTGAACCTCGAGGAGGAACTGGTGACCACCACAGCCAAATTTCTGACATACCTCACAGCTGATACATCAAGGAGCACTGATGATTAGAGTCTATAAACTGAGCAGCATGGATCCAATGGGCACAGATGGAAGATTGCATCTAATAATGGAAGAGAAAGCATTTTCTTCAAGTGTACAGCAAATGAACATCAATACAGGAAACTGTTTTCTTAGGTAAGAGCAGACTATTTTTCAGTCTTAACAGAAGCATTTGAAATGGAGCAACCAACCAATGAGGTGTTGGGTGACCAGATATTAACTAGAAAAACTAAAGTAACCTGTCAATAATTGCCTTTAGATGGTGCACCTCATATCACCAAAGACAGCAAGTATTATTTTCCCCAACTTACACTCAGTTCCCTGGACCGAGCAGTTAAAAGAAATAGCACATAGGTACTACAGAAGATACGACATCCAAAATGACTGTTGAGAATCCAAAAAAAAAGATTCATTTCACCCAAAAGTTTGGATGATTATTTGTTATTGGTTAGAATATCAGGACAATTAAGAGTAAAAATCTTTGTTCTCTGTTTTCATAGATGTGCCCATCTGGCACAAACCAACACACAATAAATATTTTTGAATAATTGAGGGAATAAATGAAGATGCTATACTATTATTAGATGTTTTCTTGCCTATCCTGTGACAACAAGTGCCTAATATTCTGTGACATATATTCTATTTAGCAAGTGAGCAACCTAGGCAATCATAGTCAGGTTCGGACATGAGTTTCCGAAAGAAGCCACTTCTGTCTATTGTTTTCCTGTGTTCCACCTGTCAGCTCCACTCTACCTGAGACTACTGGGCAAAGAGGTCCCTTGAGGGACTGGGCCTGCTGCTGGGGCAGGGCCTGCTGCTGGGGCAGAGCCTGCTGGGAAAGCAGAAGGTACATGGATAAAGGAAAAATGAAGTCAGCTCTACTTTGCTGGCACTCTTCTTTCAGGGAGGGCAATGCAGTGATACAGTAAAGAAGTGGCTCATAAGCAGCCTTGACCAACTGTCAGCAGTGCCCATGGAGAAAAGCCAAAGAGGGTCAGGAACCCTTTGCATTGGTCAGTTGTTCCCTACTCCTCCACTCTGGTCTCAACTCCTTTGTCCCATGGCCCCTCCAGTTCTGGTCTTCTGACCTTCCTGATGCACAGCGAGGGTCTAGCAGAGTGCATAGTCAGGCAGCAGGATGGGGAGAACCTGAGGGTGAACCCGGATGTAAGGATGGAGGCCCAGCTGGGCATGCAGGCTGAATGGCAAGAAGTGGCAGAGGTATCTAGGTGAGTATCACGAACAATGCTAGCCGGAGGCAGCTCAAGTCTCCATCCGCAGCACTGCTCCAGGCGTGGGCTTCCAGAGATCCAAGCTTGTGGTCTGGACAAGAGTCCCCTTACTCTCAAAGTCAGCATCTGTCCCTAAGTCAGTGCAGTGGGACCTCCTGCCTGAGAACTGGCAATAGCTTCAGGTGCATGGAACTGTTCCCTTTCCAAACTCTACTCTGAGATGGGGTCAAAGGGTTGGGTTTTTGGATATTGTTCTTCTATTGAGCTTATCTTACTATTTTAATTAGAAGTCATGGTGGGATTGGTGTGACTCAGTCACCCAAGCTGGACAAAGGTGTCCTCAAAGTGGAAGATGCCAGTAGTTACTGGTCTGAGAACCAACTGAATCATGAATTGACCAAAGGGCAGCCATGGGTGGGAAACACTGGCCTTGAACACAGGGCTTTGAGGCCAGGTCGTGGCCATACAACAGAAGGAAGATGGAACGTCTGTCCCAGGGATCACACCAGTTGGGCAGGAGGAACATCCTTCCATGGACTCCCAGTATGTTGGTACAGAGAGCAGAGTTTTAGTTGGTTCAGGATTCTTATGTCCAAAAATATTCTGGTTCAACTAATTACTCTATATGAGCATTTTCTACAGTGCGGTCTGATAACTCATGGAGTACATATGGCCCTTTTCTGGAATCTACAAAGTCAAAACCACTTTCATTATTTGTCTTTTTCAGTCTTTTTCACAAATGTACAGTAGAATTCTCCAGAGGTTACTGATGTGTGATATCTGCCTTCTGGGAAGCCAGTCATTAAAGAGATTTGCCAAAAATAAAGCAATGCACTCTTCTTGCAAAATCACACTGTTTGGAGAAACACTGTTTATTATTTTGTATTAAAACACAATATGCTTATTCCCCCCCCCCCTTAAATAGCTGTTTATTGGCAGTGGGCTGGAAGGAGTGCTGGAGTTAGCGTACAGAGACAACACCACACACCAGAGTCACGAGGGAGGCAAGTGACGGGAAAGCTTGGAGCCCCGAAGGGGCCCCTCTGCAAGTGTCCGCAGTGCAGAGGCCTGGAATGTTGGGGGCAGCCTCAGAACGCCTCAGCTCAGTAGGCATGGTTAGAGATGAAGAGGGACTCACTGGCCGCAGCCCCGGCCTGGCCACTCGGAGTGTACTTCCCCTGGCAGGCGTGGCTGTTGGCCAGGGCTCGCTTGATATACTCCTCCTGGGCAGCCTTCAGGTCCTCCTTCTTCCCACCTCAGGCCTTTAGTGAAGAAACCTGCAGGGCCCGACCGTAGGAGAAGGTTAGGGCCCACAGCTTCAGGAGGGGACATTTGTTGATGGCATTGAGGTTGACGGAAGCCTCCTCCTCGCTCTGTCCTCCAGACAGGAAGGTGATCCCAGTGACAGCGGGGGGCACTGTGCGGCGCAGCGCTGTGACAGTTGCCATGGCAATCTCCTCATGGGAATACTTCTGGGTGCAGGCATGGCCTGGAGTGACCATGTTGGGCTTCAGCAAGGTGGCTTCCAGGTAGATGTGGTGGTCACTCAGAGCCTTGTAGACCGCAGCCAGCACCTTCTCGGTGACATACTGACAGCGCTTCAAGTCATGGTCCCCATCAGGGAGAATCTCGGGCTCCACGATGGGCACGATGCCATTCTGCTGGCAGATGCTGGCATAACAGGCCAGAACGTTGGCATTTTCCAGGATGGCAAGGGCTGAGGGGGTGTGTTCTCCAATCTTCAGAACGCAGCGCCACTTGGCAAAGTCAGCTCCATCCTTCTTGTACTGGGCACAACGCTCAGACAGCCCATCCAGCCCTTGGGTGGTGGTCTCGCCATTCGTTCCCGCCAGGGGCACCACGCCCTTGTCTACCTTGATGCCCACGACACCACCCTTGGCTTTGATAACTTGGGGGAAAGGGCGCCCATCGTCCGCCTTCTGGTAGAGGGTCTCGTGGAAGAGGATGACTCCCCCAATGCAGGGGTTCACGCGCTCATCCGCAGTCAGCAGCAGCTGGCGGTAGAAGCGCCGGTTCTCTTCGGTGTTCTCAGTGCCAATAGACTGCAGCCGCTTGGCAATGCTTCCAGTGGACTCATCTGCGGCCAGGATGCCCTTGCCCGGAGCCACGATGCGGTGAGCAATGTCGGACAGCTCCTTCTTCTGCTCCGGCGTCAGTGCTGGATATGGGTAGGGCATGGTGCCGGTGGTAGCAGGTTCCTGTCGGGCACGGGGGGAAGCGCGGTACTGCGGCTGGCCGCCTGAGAGCGAACGCTGCGGTCATCACCAGCAGCCTACCGCGCGTTCCAGAAAACGGAGCCTATTCTGCTCGGGGGGGGGGGGCGGAGCGAGGGGAATATGCTTATTATTTTAAAGTGAATAAACATTTAAACATTTTCTCAGTCCTGATTTCTAAGATGGTAAATAAACATAGATATGGCCCACATAAACTCCTTGGATTTCCAATACTTTTTAATGTAAAAGGCTCCTGAGATTAACCAGTTTGAGAACTGCTGCTGTGTATATTCATCACAAATCCTTGGTTACAAACTCTGCCACTAACCTAAAATAAAAACTCAGTAGTTTCTTTAAGGAGTATGGGAGGACTGAGCCACATTTTTTGGTTGTGTAGACGTACGAGTAAAACAAAATCCTTGGTGACCATTTTCAATACCATTTCCCTTGTGCCTCAGGACTGGTTCACAGTTTCCAAGGCAGACACTTCACACAGGTCCTCCATCAGGGCAGTGCTGGGTCACTGATTCCAGGGAGTCTTTGGCTGACCAAATGGGAAGTCAACTCGATCTCATCAACATTCCATGCTTACAGCCTTACTTAAGCCTCCCTAGCAAGCACAGACTCTTACTGTATCACACTATTTTGGAGAATATCAAGGAATTTTATGGGCCATTTGGATATACTCCTAATATTTTATCTTGATGAACTACTGGGTTTAGAATTTAAGGTTAAAAACAGCTAATCCTCTCTGCTCTCTCTTTTGTTCTAGGGCTGTGGTATTTCAAGGTAGGCTTTTAGAGGCACCGGATTCCTCAGACAGACTGTGGCCACCATTACCTTGCTCTGCACCGGTTATAGTCCCGGTCAGAGAAGTGAATACACATCCTTCCCTATCAGGGAGGACACTACACTGTCCTTAGGCTGGACTTATGTCCTTGTGACCCAATAATATAATATTTTACTAACAGCTCTAAAAGCAGCTTTTACCAATAACTGCTAAAAGGTTAAGTAGAGAGTCACACATGGCTCCAAAATAGGAGGTGTATACAGTGACCCCATGAGAGGAAGCTCTGAAGAGTAGCTGAGGTGGTCTGCACCTTCCTCCATAGAACTTGCAGTCAAAGCCATAACCTACCCATGTTCTAGGTGGTATGAAAAACGAACAGTAGGGTGCTGACTTGCTGGAAAAACTATGCTTACTATAAGTATGAATAATCTGGACAAACTTGAAAATTTCTACTAGTCTATCAAAGATTCATGAAGGTGGTAATAAAGGGAGTGCCGAGTGGGGACTGAAGCTGTGTGTTGCACCAGTGTAACCTGCAGCACTGCCCCATGGTCCTCATAGCTCCCATCCTGCTGTTGGGACCAGCCCTGGCCATGCACTGGCTTTCTATCTGGCCTCCCACACTGCTAGGGTACAGTGAATGCCAGTCCTTGGTTTAAAATAAAAATGAAACTAAGAGGCATTCAAAGCTCCCAGTTTAGCTTTCCAGACAAAAGCAGAAGTTTTTAAAAAACAACCCCATGAGAAGTCAGCTGTTTCTGATTTAGAGGCAAAGTAACCCAATAAACATTACCCCAAATGCCAAAACCAACAAATCCATTTCTACTGAGATGATTGAATGCAGTGCATGAAAGCCAGATCCCTTTCTTTATGGTCTGTCTCAGGAGTAAGTCTTGGGTGACACAACCACTATGTGCTTGTGGATTCTGCAGCTGCTTAGCTTGTGTATTAGTCCATTTTCTGTTGGTCTAACAAAATACACAAGGTTGGATTATTTTGTAAAGAAAAGAAGTTTATTTAACGGTTTTGGAGCCTGAACTTCCAAGATCAGGTGGACACAAGTCTGGCTTCTAGTGACCACTCTGGCTGTATCACAGCATGGCAGAGGAGCACAAAGGGAACCAGTAGCATGCAGAGGGATCCAAACATGTGGAGTGGGTTTGCTTTAAAACAACCTGCTCTTGTGAGAACTAACTCCCTCAGTGAGACTCTCCTTAATCCTTTCCAAAGATGACGCTGTCATGACCTAACCACCCGGCAGCAGGAGCCACCTCTTCAAGGTCCTCCACCTTAACACTGCCACCCTGGAGACCATGCCCTCAACATGTAAACCTTTGGGAGACACATTCAAACCACACTGTTTTTCTCAACTGAAACATATTCTTCTAATCTTTTCCTTTTATCCATTCAATTGTGGGTATGTCATGGTTATAGCACCTTCATCATAGATGTTTTTATGAACTGTCTGTTTTAAACAACCTTTTGTCAGTCTTGACTTTGTTAATGTACTTTCTGATGGCAAATAACTAGTGCATACACACACATGCACATGTATACACACACAAAAACTTACGTGCTTACTATTCCTGTACACACGTTGTTCACTGCAGATCTCTGAACATTCACGTGTGACAAATACTGTTGATATCTTCCCTAGTGTATTGGGGTTAGGCAATCATGGGAGGGTGCAGAGAACTAATCTGTTTATACTTCTTGATACACACACATCAAGGGCTAGACCCATGGGCAGAAAACATGTCCCAAGGCTTTTAAATCTATTGTGAAAATGCCAAGCACTTGCCAAGTGTTGCAAAAAGAAAACAAGCCAGGATACAAGTTGAAGGACACAGTATTTCACTCAGAAAGGCCCTGTTCAACACTGCAGACAGGCCCTGGGGTATGAGCTCTAATGTTACCATTCTCGGAGGAATGCCCCTCTCCCTGGTCTGGCTCTCCCCTTCTGAGTTCAGACTCCTCTGCCCATGCACCCCCTCCTATGGCTGCTTGGCTGACACACAATGCTCGTTTTACAGGTCCAAAGTGGAACTTAGGCTCTTCCCTGCCTAAACCTACCTGCTTCCTATCTTAGCAAAGGACACCTCCATTGACCCCTCTGCCACCCTTACTTCTCACCCATCAGGACTCTGTCAGTTCTAGCTTCAAGTCTATCTGAAAGCCATGCCCAGTTTTCATCCACAGTCACCATCCAGCTGAAGCCACCATGGTGAGTGTCCACCAACAGTGTTCCAGGTGGCCTGCCCTGTGTGGCTTCTACCCCACCTTCCACGCAGTGCTCTGTGGCAATCACAGGAATACTGGGAGAATGCTGATAAGGCCACTCCCTAGCACAGAATAAGAGGAACCAGGTGGAGTCAAGGGCTGGAGCAGGGTTGAGCATGGGAAGTCAAACGAACTCACAGGAGAAGGAGGACATGTCAAAAGCCAGTTCAAAGGGGTCTTCACTGGCCATGTATGGGACAATTTGTGCATAAAAGTTGTAATTATAACCCTCAGAATAACACGAAAATCCACAAATCCAGATATAGTGGAATAAAGGAGTGAATGAGTGAGTGAATGAATAGGAGCGAGAGCTCCCCTTCAAGCAGCCTGCCAATTAATACATGCAGAAGGGAGGAAGGAATAGAAACTCCAACCACCACAGTGGTTTCAAGCAGGAGCATCAATGGATACTAGAATGAGTGAGCCAAGACTTGATAAGAAATGGTGTATTTATATAATCTCAAAATCTTTCCCACAAGAACTAATTAAAAGAAAAAAAAAGTTCAGAGTAGAAACCAGGCAGACAAGGGATGACATGATCAGCATGGTCTCCTGACAGGCTGTATCCCTCTGTGATCCTCTTTCCAAAATGATCTAATCTGAAATTAATCATGATCAGACATCTGACAAACTCAACCAAGGGGCACTCTATACTGTAAATGGCCCGTAATCTTCCAACATATCTAGGTTATGGAAACAAGTAAAGACTTAGGAACTACTCCACATGAAAGAAACTAAAGGTACAAGACAACTAAATGAAACATGGGGTCCTGGATGGATCCTAGATCTCTTGGGGGACATTACCAGGATAAGGGGACTGAGGATTAGAAAGAAATTCTGTTCCCCTGTTGGCTGCCTTCTTTGATCATGGCACCGTGGTTATATAGGACAATGGCTCATATTCTCATTGTTGTATCTCATCCTCCAATGGTCTAGTGAACAGCATTAACATGTATATAAACCCACTATGATAAGGCAGGTGTGATCACATCTGACCAGGGATGTATGAGGAAGCTACTATTCTTGCAACTTTTCTCAAAGTTCGAAATGATTTTAAAAAGTCAAAACCAACTAAACAAGGAACACCACTGCTTTCCTACTGCACTTAAGGCAAAATGCTGTTGGTAACCTGTCCCCTATAACTCCAACTGCCCTCAAGTAACATTTCCTCATCTTCTCTGTTCCAGATGGTTTTGGTGTCTGCTTGGTCACTGTTGTTCTGCAGCACTAAGGCTTGAGCCCAGGCACACTAGGCAAGTGGTCTACTGAGGAGCTGGAGCCCAGCCCCCAAGATGTTTGCATCTTCTCTTCTCTGTCTTTGGAGAGCGCTTCCTGCCCCCACCCCATGCATCCTTGATTCCCAAGTCCCTTCCCACTATTGGGTCTCAGTTTAAATGTCACTTCAGAAAGGTACCCTTTCCCCCTAGACTAGCCCAAACTCCCTGTCACAAGTGCTATTCTACACTGGAGCATGGTGACCGTCCACTTACTACCCCGTGTCCCCCACGAGACTATGTGCTGAGTTCTAATTCTTCCTTCACTTTCAACTCACGGACCTAATTTTAGTTTAAGAAAAAAAAAAGACTGAAAAAAGGATTTCAACTGCAGAGACCTGACCTGGCTTCCTCTCTTGGAGGCAGTAGCTTTTTAACAACAAACTAATGGATTTTATTATTTTACTCCAACACCCGATTTTCTGAAAAACCTTGATCATGCAACCTTACTTAGCTTTACAAACACATTACTCTTTCAGAGAAATTTCACCTGCCATGGAAGTCAAGGGATGCTATATTTACATCCAAATAAACAGAACAGAACAGGTTCTCTGGCTTGTAAAATGATGACCCTTAATCACTTAAAACAACTGATGTGGGTAATTAGGACTATTTCCATAGTACAGAGAAGATGATTTTTAAAAAGGGAAGTAGGGAGTAATTAATTTCACATAATAGTCACACTGGGACCTACTGTGAGGCCTGATGTTAATGATGTATTTCTTTTCTGTAATTAATTTTTCTGGGCAGTGGTGGGGCTCTCCACCACCTTCTCCAGAACTGCTCTGGGATCAGCAGGCCTGACTGTTCCCCACCTGCACCAGGCCATAAAGACAGAGACACACAGAGAACAAGAAATAGGTATCCACTTAGCCAAATTTTAGTTTGTACAATGCTTTCCCTCCTTTGTGAGGAAATTAAAGTAATATAAGCAAGGAAGTATTTTGGAAGTAGTGTGCTTCTGTTGATTGATTGTGGTACTACGGATTGAAACCAGGGCCTTTGCACTACACAACATCCCTACCCTTTTTTTTAATTCTCAGACAAGGTCTCAACTAAGTTGCCCAGGCAGGGCTTGAACTTATGATCTTCCTGCCTCATCCTCCCAGAGTGCTGGGAGTACTGGCGTGTGCCACTACCATACCACCCTGAATCTGCCAGGATCTTTTCTCTGCAGTTTTTAAAGCTATAAAGCAGAGGATAAAGGGAGAGAGAGTACTCAGTAAGGAGGAAAGCAAGAGATTCAAATTCAAATCTAACCACTACCACCACCCACCAGTCTGGCAAACTATTTCCTCTCTGCAAGTCCTTCTTGCTGTCAATTTAAATGAGGGGAGCACCTGCTCCCTAAGACAGAGCCTGAGCTGGGCAGCCTGTGGCTCCTGAAGTGAGAAGGAATCTGTTACAGCAAAAGCTTGATGGGGAGAAACACGAGAACATGGGTCCCCTTCCTCTAACTTCCCCTGGACTGTTGAAGCCTAGGATGGAAACAAACGCACAGAACCTGAACCCACCATCCATTCAGAAACTTGCACCAGGAGCCCCTGCACCTCAGTGGCACAGTGCCTGCCTAGCATGCATGAGTTCCATCCCCAGCACAAAACCAAAACCAAAACCAAAACCAAAACCCAAAAATCAAAATCAAAATCCTGCATGACTTGTCTCTTATCAATGTTTTCTTCCCAATTCCTAAAGAAAAGTCTGTTTTAGAACCAGTTTTCCAACCTGCCTGTACCCCAGAATGGCCGCACACATAGAGTTAGGACAGCGTGCTCATCCTTCAGCGCAAGGAAGCAGCCTGAGCTCTCAGGGAGAACAAGGCTGACCAGCACCAAACACACACACAGTTGTTTCTGCGGGATGGAGAAGAGTCTCCCAGCGAACACAGAAGACATGCAGTGTGGCCACCAGAGCAGACTCGGGATGCAGAGACCCGCTCGCTGAGGAGGGCAGGCCCAGCCCAGGTGTGAGGGGCTCAGCCTCCGGCTCCCCCTTTTCTAGGCTACAGCCTTTTCGCATCAGAATCTCCCTGGCAACCCCATATGACTGACACCAGATCACTGCATTGGCCCACTCTGCCTTGAGGAGCATAGGCCCAGGGAGCCCAACGGTGCCACCCAAGGGCAGCCGCTGCACTGACAGTCTCTCCCTGACCCTGTCCCTGTCTCTGTCTCTATCTCTCTCTGTAGCCTCTCCCACTAGGAGCTTGTTATAAGTAGGGAGTGAGGGTTTGATTTCTATGTCCCTGCTGCCTATACACAGAGGGGCTCAGCAGATGTCTGAAAGGAACGGAAAGCTCAGGGCACATCAGGGCGCAACAGCATCTTAAGCCTGTGCTCAGACATCCTGTCATCTCCCCCCAGTCATCCTGAGAGATCTGTGCTTTACTCCTGCAATGACACAACCAGAACTCTCCATCACCTTCCCCCGACCACCCAGGGGCTGTCTGACTGCCTACCCTGAGGTTTTAAAATTCTCATAACTAGACAGCCAAGGGCAGAGCACAGTGGTCCAGCGCCAAGATGAGCAGATAACACACACCTCCCTCTTCTTTGGCTCAGTCCTCCGTGGAAGGGGAGCACATGCTTCCTTCTGATTCACATCGATTATGATTCACCACCACCATCACCGAGCACCCCCCCCCCCAGCCAACACACATTCTTTTTGCACTGCTTCCAATTTCCTTACGGTTAACCTGACACAAGCCAGGTTGCACTCAAGAGCCTGCAATGTAGCTTTAAATCTGTACGATTCTTTTCAACATCTTTTCTTTGAAAACATCAAATTTTGAAAAATTAATTTTAGATCATCAAAGGTAAATTGGGAAAATGTTTTTTTTCCCGTTCCACTTTGAGTCTTCACTAATTTAGTTCTATTTAGGGAATACATGGAATGAATTTAAATGCTTGTGAAAGAACCCTTGTGTTCCTCTGGCAGGTAAGATGGGGTCCCCTAACTGGGTCTCCATTGTGGTCAGATGCCGAGAGAGAGAGACAGAGAGAGAGAGAGAACATGGAGCACTGGCAGCCTTTGCCAGGAATATGGGCAATCGCTTCATTAAACAGTTTGCAGCCAACATTAACTGTGTACTTGATTCAGAAAAGGAAGATTAGTAATTAGCAAGCAAAATAAATACGTCCACTTAGAAGACATCCTAATTTGTGTTTCTGCCTTTTACCAGGTAGTTCCAGGTCACAGAGAAAGTTACTTGGCAGCTATCCGAAGTCTTGGAGGGTACTCCTAAGAAGCCAAGCAGATCTGAATGCATTTTCTGTTTTGGTTTTGTCTTTGGATGTTATTTCCCTCAATATGTCAATTCCAGACAAAGCTCCTTAATTTTGTGTAAGTAGGAATTTCAGCCATAACCCTTCTAATCCAAATGTATTACTGGAAGTCACAATAACTGGAACATGTTTGGAGGGAAGGGGTGATTTAGAACCTGGATTTCAGAGGAGCCCTTTAGGAGGGAGCAGGAGGGACCCTCATCCCCACCCTCACCTTCTCCTTTACAGCTGAGCTCTTTAGAGACCCTCTGTACTAGGGAGTGGGCTTTTTCTGTGACAGCTTTGGGGGAAGTTGGTTTAGAGCCAATGACTGGCCAGCTGTGAGAGAAAACAGAAACTGATGCCTGAGTCTGCCAGCTCCAGGAATTTGGAGAATGGGCCTGGTTGGCTCACTGTGGAATTCCCAGTACCTAGCCCAGTGCTTGGCACATAACAGGGATTGTAACAACTTGATGGAGGAAGGAATGGATGAGTGGATAACAGAAGAATGGGTTAATGGAGGGAGGCAAGTGTGAAACCTTCAAGTAAATAAAACCTCCCCCGACTTTTTTTTGGTACTTGAGATTGAACTCAGGGTCTTCATTCCAAGGTATGTCCCGAGCATTCCCTATTTTTTATTTAGAGACAGGGTCTAAGTTGCCAACTTGCCCAGGCTGGGTTTGAACTTGTGATCCTCATGACTCAGTCTCCTGGAGTGCTGGGATTACAGGCAATGTGCCACCAGGCTTGGTTAAGAGTTTCTATTTTGATTAAGTTCTCAAATGCTTTCTCATATCTAGATTGCAGACTAAATACCTGGTGGGGCAACAAGGAAGGCTGGAAATTCCATAAGAATTAAGACAAGGTAACTCTGGATGCCAGTGGTTTTAATGGAGTCATGCTATTTTACTGATGGGAATCCATGAGTGAGAGCCCATAGGCCAGTGGTGGCAAATCTTTTAGAGCTTTCAATAATACAAACAACCCACTGCACCCCATATGCTTGCCACCACTACTATAGGCTGTGACATCTATCAGTCACCTTAGTTACTTTTCTTATTGCTAAGACAAAATACCCAGTACCTAAAGTTAAAGGAGGAAAAATTTATTCCGGTTCACAATTTGTAGAGGTTTTAAATCCATAATCAGCTGGCTCCAAGGCAGGGTGGCATGGGAGAGGGGCATCACAGAGGAGAAAGAATCTATGGTGGGAAGAAGGCAGCAAAGCAGCAAGCAATGGCAGCAGGCCTCTTTCTGTCCTTTATATTCATACCCACAGTGGGGCACCCTTAACCAGGGTGGGGCACCACATATCCTAGATCCAGCTACCTGCAAAAAGCCCCACCTATGACCACATAAGGCTTTGGGGGGACATCTACACACAAGACATACCACACCTTTTCTCCCTGAATCTGAGATGGCTCCAGCTGCACCAACAGTCTAGGCTTTGTGAGGCAGAATAACCAGGCTGAAGACTTTTGTGTAAGGATCATAAAGGGCAAAAAGGATGACTCATTCACTGGAATTCCCCAACACTCAACCAGGAAACTTGAAGACATAACTCAAGGGAAACAAAAGCACATGACCCAGGGAACAGTAAACTTAAAGATTAATGTGTATTTTGCCATATGAATACCCATGAGATACAAATGTGAGCCCAGTCTAGAACAAGGCTATTAGGAGCAACAGAATGCCAGCCACATATGTAACTTAAAATCTCCAGAAGCAACATTCAAAAAAGTAACATAATAGATTTTATTTTATGCAACATATGTAAAACAGTATTTCAATATGGAATAAATACTAAAAAGTATGAGTAGGATACTTTATATTCTTTATTTTTCCTATGAAATCTTTGAAATCCAATGTGAATTTCATACTTACAATGCATCTCAATGTGGACTCACATTTCAGGGGCTCACACTTGGACACAGGTGCAGACAGACAGGTGGTAGGTCCATCTGCCATGGCAGCAGTGAAGGAAGCAGCAGGTTGGCATGTACCTCCTTGTGGACCTTCAGTTCTGGTTTAAGTCTCATGCATTCAGAGGTGGGGCTTTTGGAAGGTGATTGGGAAGTGTTATTCAACCACCGGTGAATTCATAGCTAACTGCTGTTAGGAGGTAAAGTCTGGTTGGAAGAGGTGGATCACAGGGAGCATGACCTGGAAAAGTATTTCTTTGTCCCCAGTCCCTTCTCTCTCTGGTTCTTGGCTATGCTCTTCCACCATGTTGTTTCTGCCTTGGAGCTAGCCAACCATGGACTGAATCCCCAGAAACTGTAAGTGAAAATAGACTGCTCCTCCTTTAAATTGCAGGGGTTGGGACAGGAAAGTGACTGGTACAAGTGGGCTGGGGATACTTTCTCTTTTCTCTAGGTTTTGTAGGATGTGATTTTGGGTCTCTCCCCATCAGGGGAAGAGCATGTCTAAGGATGGGGTCATGAAGAGGCAAAGGAAAACTACAATTCTAAGCCCTGAGTTTTCTTCCTTGGATTCAACCCCAGGCTCCATCTCCTTCCCAGTCCTTCCCTCCCTTGCTCAGGCAAACTTGGGCTGGGTCACCAGGCCACTCCTATTATGGAGCCACACCACCCCACTGCATGCCACTGTGTCCTAGAGGGACCACTGCCCTGACTCAGGAGCAGGGCTTCCATCTTGTAAGTGGCATCAGTGCCAGGTAGCTCCTG